AGACATAGCTACAACGAAACATCTATCGAGTAGGTTTCAAAATTGTAGCCGATTCCTTCAGAGGGCCATTAAACACAGGGCAGGGTATGGAAGCCACAGAGCAGCGTCGAAGTTATATAAGAAGGACGCTAAGAAGGCATTGGGCCATCACACCGTCCCGTCATTAGTGATCCCGATCTTCTTTCAGCGGCTTGAGAGGTGTGGCTGAATCAGGGTCAACCGTAGCGTTCGCACCTTTCGAGAATTTTGCGACCCTCCCTCCTTCAGGGGGATCTCGATGCGACCACACCACCACCTCCACGAGACCAAGAAAGCTTCCCCTATACCCCCCCCAATACGACCCCGCTCCTCCCTACCCCGAACGCCACCTTCACCATCATGGCTTTTTCTATAGTGTTTGATCCCGAGACCAGTCGAGTCGGCATAGCCAACTCCGCCCACTTTTTCCTCAAAACGGCCGTCAAGCGGGGTGGAGGGGGGGGGTAAAATGGTATAATGAAGCGACAGATCCTCCAATTTTGCCTACTTCAGACTAAATTTCACCAAGTTTGTCAAAAAACTGATCTAAATCTCAACCCTTTTTAACATCCTCTGTTGGCACTACTGCAAAGATTATCAACCTTGCTCAACCCCAAAATGCGACCGCCCTTCCCCGAAATCACAAATGGGACCTCCTCGTTCCATTATGTAGTGCGAGCTGACGGTAGACCTTGGCCGAATGTTTTCCCAGCGCTGTTCCACCAGCGCCATTCAATGTGTAAACGGGATAGGAGGCATTCCTGTTGAAAAAACGACTCCGACTTAACCTTTCACCTTTATTTATGGAGGCGAACTGTAATCATGTTCACATTATTACTAATCACTACATGGGTAACTGAGAAGTCGCTGGCCAATAATCTACGCTTTTCGATATGAACACGATGGTACCGGTTTTCATTCAATATTAAACTGGCTTCCAATGGTTCATACAAAGAAGCCAATTAAAAGTGCCCTTTTCATTCTTCCAGACGATATGGC